ATTTTTATGTGATGCGGAGAAAGGAGAATAAATATTTCCAATATTTACATTCTAACAAGTGGTCGCTCATTTACTTACTCTCTAAAGTTGTGAAATTCGAAGTTCGTTCATTTACTTACTCTCCCCTTCATATTGCTTATAAAAAGTACCGTACGTTTAGAATAGTGAGACCACAGAGCTGCTTTTAATAAATGTGAAATTTATGATGTTAATGTGAAATGAATGAAAATAAATAAAGCTACACAAAAAAAGCTAGTTGAAGTTCTATGAAAATGAATAAAAGCTAATCGAAGTTTTATGAAAATGAAAAAAAGCTAGGTGAAGTTCTATTAAAATGAAAAAAACCTAGTTGAAGGCCAACCGTATATACAGGTACAAGATCATTTACAATTGTTGCAATCCTCATCTAACATTAAATTTATAAGTCTATATATATGCGTTAGCATATGAATTCCCTTTGAATATTCCTATTGTTACTAAATTGCTACTATGGGCCACTTTTCATCATAAAATTTAAAAAATAAACATTTTTTTTAATTCTAGATGGAGGTAGGCTCATGTGGTTTGTTTCACATAATTTGCATGTCAAATTACTATCATGATACGACATATGTATACGTAATTTCTGAAAGTAAATAATTAGTTTAAACACTTAAACTCACAAACTTTCATCTTTTTGTACATGGCGTGTACAATCTATTTACTACTACTGTCTACTTTATAATAAAGGTTGCTTTATGAAAATGATGCAAAAAAAGTAAATAATTAAATTTCTCTAGTAAGATTTTTGAAAGACAAATACATTAGAAAAGAAATTTTATATATATCTGCATTAGTAATAAATAATTTATCTACATTATATATCTGCATTAGTTATAAACAATTTTTAACGCTTAGCAACACTAGGTTTGCCAAAAATATTTATTACGTGCACGCACCAACGCCATATGATTGTTTACACTTCTCAATACTTGAGTCGCCATTTTGGTAGAGTTCAGCAATAACTAAATTGCATGTTGCCAGATTATCATAATGTTATTAACAGAATTGAATTTTTTTTATTATCCTGTGCAGAACGTCGCAAAAAAGTTTTCCTAAAGAATGTTAGTTTACTAGAAAAGATGGAACATTAAATTATCAATTACTTATGTATCTAGGACAAAGTTTATATTAGATATTTACGGCTTTAAATGTATAAAATTTAAAAAATCGGATGGCATCACCGTTAACAATAACCAACGCTGAAATTTTCTTAACAAATTGTCATAGAAGTGCAAGAAAAATTTTGTGCAAACGTAAGTGAAACTGTTAACATTTAAATATTGTCCAAAATCAGTAGGAACTTTATAAAATTTGTTGTAAGAATCCAAGCCATTAATCTACTATCGAAGGTAAGCACAAAAGTGCACCGATGCGTCAAAAAATCTTAAGAGAATATTAGCCCGAGAAAGTCTGCCGTCACATTTAATTTGGAGCGAACTTTTATGCTTCCGCAATTTTTAATTTATAAAGCACATTTCGTAATTTCATATAGAGATTATATATTTTTCTTTTTTTGTGATATTAATGTTATACGAGTTGTGTTAGGAACTTGAAGATCTCTTTGTACAGCAACCATTTGCATCTAAAAAGGGGTAGACTTGTGTTTTGGTGCTTATATTTTACTTTTTAATGCTTATGAGACTCAGTGAATCGGAAGCTATTGCTTGTATCAAAGAAAAGATTTGGCGGTGACTGTTTAAATGGAAAATAAAAGAATACAAACATACATTTTCTGTCGAATTTGTGAAAAACCATTAAAATAAAGTTTTCTTTTGTTTCTTTATTATTAAATATTAAAAGTACAGTGATTTACTGAAGCCGTCGCCGATATGGGTGAAATTAAGTCAGTCAAGGTGGACAATTGGGGAGTTTTTTTCTTGCAAAAGCTGCAAAATTTCTTTAACAAAACGGATTATTGTGATTTAACATTGCAATTTCGTGACAACTCACAATTGAAAGTACACCGTTTGGTATTAAGTGCTTGTACAGATTATTTTAATGTGCTGGAGCAAACTTGTGAGGTGGTCGATGACGCCATTATTATGCCAAATGAGCTGCAGGCTGATGTCGTTGTGCCAATCGTCAATTTTATGTATACCGGCACTTTGGAATTTGAACTTAAAATGTATAATCGCTTATTGCGTACCGCTCGGGACATGAATATGACCGTATTGCTTAAACTTTTGGAAGCACATCGTCGCACTATGGAGTTACATCCACAAAAAGTTCAAGGGGTATGTATACGCAAAAAATTAACTGCTTGTCCCAAAAAATAATAATTTTGCCATTTCGATAAGAATTCCAGTCCTAAATTAAAACGCCGTGTCGTGCAAGCGCCTGGCTCTCAATACAAAAAGGAACCAATTGCTTCTGGTACATCACGAGTAGTTAGTTCGACATCAAATACTCCGATTATAACTCAACGACGTCTGATACCAGTGAACACATCTGTTGGAGGCAGAGTTAATCAGCCCACTGGCGCATCTTCTGCTGCAAATATAGTGACAACAGTTACTCGTCCATGCATGAGCAATAGTAGTGCATTTAATACAAAAATTAAACAAGAAGTTGATTGTGATGTCAACACCATAACCAACACTTATACCACCATGAAAATGTCGACCCAGCATCCCCCGCAATCAAAACAATCCTCAGCCACTTCACCTTTTGAACAATTGCGCAAGGGATACAACAACAATAAGCGTCCGGCAACTGCTACATTTGTTTCACCTCCAGCAAAAAAGCCCAATCTAGAGGACGTTAAAGAGTTTGCTGAGCAGCAACGCGTGCGCAAGCAGATTGCTGCTGAATATGGGGAAGCAGATGCCGATTACGACGGAGGTCTAATGGACGATGATATACATAACGACGACGACGATGATGATGTTGCTACAAATTCGACGTTGACACCATCAACTTCAGCTGCCACTTCTACGGCTGCCGTGCAGACTACCAGCGAGAAGCAGTTATCTGACGATCCTCCCGGTACTACAACGATCACGGTCAAACATGAAGGCCCGGACAAACCACCCACTATTGTGGTTAAGGATAGTTCCAACTCAAAAATGAATCATGCTAAAATCATTTCCGAAGTATTGCGCCAATATCCACATTTGGTTAAAAGCAATAAAAACATAAAATTGAAAATAATACCCAGTGCAGGTGGAAGCAACACACAGAAAATTATTGTCAAAAAAGAACCACTCGAAGCGGAGAGATCCCCGAAAGCCATCGCTTCCACTTCGTCTGCTCTTCAAACGAAAACGAGTGTAACGTCTTCAACAAATCAACCAGTCACATTGAAAGCCGATCGTCTGGCAACAACTTTAATAAGCAAACATAGCGCAGGGTCACAAAAGAAGAATGTTGCACACCAGGCGATTTCTTCATCAGTAGGTTTTGCTAAAGCTACCACAGTTGCAGCAGCTTCATCAACTTCAGGAGCCACGCCATCAACTAGCAGCGGAGCTTCTTCCGGTGGTGCCCAAACGCAAAAGCGCCGTATTGATAGTAAAACTATGCATGCTTTAATAGCTTTAGGAGCCGAAAACACAACTGGACCCTGGCTGTGTTTGCGATGCGGACGCAATGGTCATCCAATTAGCATACCATCATATCGAGGTTTTCGTCGTCATTTGACAAATACACACAAGGAGACAATTGATGCAGCTTTGTGCGAATATTGTGGTTGGCGTTCGACGGTCAAACGAGAGTTACACTTTCACATGCAACTCGAACATAAGGTCAAAACCAATCTGTACATTTTTCCTGAATGTCAGTTATGCGCGCAAATGTGCATTGATAGTGATGGCCTTAATCAGCATTTAATTGATAGCCACCCAGAAGAAAATAAACAGCAATGCATTTACTGTAATAAAATATTTCCTGAAGAAATGCAGTTGTACACTCACATGAAGACGTTCCACAAGAAACAAGCTTTGGAGGATGGCATTATTGATCAATCAGATGACGAAACTATTCCTGAATATTTATCGCAGGAAAATCAAGAAATTTTGGAAGAAATGGCGCAGGTTGTTGAAGAGAAGAAAATTAAAATTCTTTCGGATATCAGCTTGCCTACCTCTGGGACTATAGCAGAATCTGAAACTTCACCAGTTGCAATTGGCGAAAATAAGGCAACAGACACTGCAGTTACTGCGGCCGAAACCACGACTACGGGAGAATATATAGCAGGGGAAAACGAAACTAAATTTGTGGGAGCCGACGGAACGGAGATGATTCTAACTGAAGAGCAACGTAAAGAGATTCTTTCTCAATTAAATCAAGAACATGAAGGAGGAGGTGTTGTAATGGTCTTTAATGAACCTCAGAGCGAACAACTGAGTTCACTAAGTCAGGACGAAACATCACAAGCCACCACAGCTACTACCACAAATGAAGAAGCAGTTGAACATGATGATAGTCATATCTTTCATGAAATGAAATCCCAAACTGGGTCTGTGATGGAAGCAGAAGACGCAGAGATGGATGATGAACCGGGTACTATTAGAGGTGAAACGGAGGAAGAAGTAGAGGAAGAAACCTATGAACATAGCAAATCTGGTCATTTGGATGAGAGTAAAGAGTCCTTAGATAATTTGGAATGGGCTGAAAATCTAATAACAGAGCACGAAATGGCAAATGCCAACAATAAGCAGGAAAATGATGAAAACGATGAAGAAGACGACGAAGGAGAAGAAGAAGAGAAAGAAGAAAAGGAAAAAACCGCATCAAAAGAATTGGAAGAGGTAATAGATTCCGAACAGGCTTATATGAAGAATGTTTCGATTAAGATTTTACAATTTTTTATAGGATAAAAGTTTCAATCAGCCTCAACGAGATGATATTAGCAAAAAGCTTAAAGAACTCACAGGGGACTGGTCCGACGATGATAATGAAGATGCGGACATAAACGAAGAAGAGGAGGAGTCAGAGGACAACGCAAAGGATCAAAAAGAAACGAATAAAACTGCATTAAAATATCAGTATGAGGATGATCTCATTCAGACAAATAAAAGAGTCTTAGAAGACGAATTAAAAGAGGAAGAGAAAAATAACAGCTCTACTAAGAAAGAGAAAAATGATCATCGAAAGAGAAATGTTGACACAGAGTTGACTCAAGAGGAAGATGCAGAGGAACCGATAGTTGAAGACGACATCGACTTGGCTCTAAAAAATTTACACAAAGACAATGAAGAAATGGAAGAAAACATAGTTAAAGATAGGGAAAAGAGATCTGAAGACTTAGTTGACAAAGGTGTTGACGCGGCAGTGAAGTCATTTAGTAAATTAAGCGAAGAGGTCCAGACAGTAAATGAGAAAACTGTTGATAGTAAGAAAACCGATGTCAAACTGAAGATTACAGATGATCTTGATGAAGAAACTAAAAAAAATTTAATTGAAATGTTAATAACAGATATAGAAACTGCACCGACAACTACTGCTGCCATAATCACCAGCCCTAAGACAACAACAGCGGAAGATATTAAGTGCGAAGAAATAGATGATGTTGAAGCTGAATTCAAAAAGCAGGCGTCGGAGAGGGAGGAAAATAAGAACGATGAGCTTCCTGCCAATATTGAAGACAAACCAACAGACAATGAAATGACAGCAAAGTCTGCGGAGGAGAATTTAATAAAATTCAAAGAAGAGCCTGAAGAACCTGCAGAAGCTAAAGCTGCTGGCAGCTCCTCAACAAATCATCCAAATAGGGATAGCAGCGGTCCTAGCACCGAGGACAGAGTGAAAAGCTTAATAAGCGAATGGGGCGACGATGATGATGATGACGAGGTTGCAAATGAAGAAGATTTAACAAAAAATCTTTGAAATTTAGATTTATTTAATTTTTAGAAACTAAACCATATTTTCCATTCTACTAATTTCTAGCTTTTTCAAAGATGTTATTTTCCGACAGAGAAGAGAATGGTCAATCTATGATTGTACAGATAATGAAGCAATTGCTATTCGTAGTTTATACAACAAAAATTTAACTTTTCTTAGAATTTTAAGTCCTTCAATATATGCGCAAATACGTATTTTATATAATTATTGCTCAGAATTTGGATTCGCACGTTTCTGATTTGTACTTTAAACTTAAATCTCTTGTTCACTATTTTCTTAAAGGCATCATGCATCTTTTGGATCAAAGTAACAGCAGCCGCTAAGTGATGTTAATATTAAAAAATATTTTTCTTTGTATTTGCAAAATGAAAAACGATTTACTTTGGTTTCGAAATGTAGTTTTGTTGAGAATTAAAACCGGTAAAGAAGTAGAAACTTGGAAATAGAAAATATTATCACAAACAAAAAATATCTACGTATGCATTAACAAATTGTTAGTTTCATTTAAAAGATCTTAATGTTCTAGAAGACTTGTAGTATTTGTTTGAAGCGATTTCAAACGCCTGTTTGTAGCTCACCACATCATCGCGGTTTTATCTATCTTTGGATGGATTATCCAAAAATTGTTCAAATCGGGTAGAACTGATAAAATTTCGGATGTGGAATAGTTGAAGAAATTTCAACGTAACACTACTCATTTGCAATTTTGTGCTAAAACAATATTTCCTTGCAGCGTTCGCTGGTCATTGTATAAGAATATTTAATGTGAGGTATTCTATGATTAGTTTACAAAAATTGTTGAATCCATCAATGCATGTCAGGACCACTAGGCATTAAGGCCATTGTTTATATAAGAAACAATCTAAGTTTGACAAACTAGCACTTAAGCATTACCTAAAATGCATAAAGAAAAAGAAAATGATTGTCAAAAATGTTAATAGTGTCAACTATGTTGGCCGGAGAATGCATTCGAAACAGTTCGGCTTTAATTAGTGCTTTTTTGTTGTTTATTAATTATACGAAGTTAAACAAAGAATTCTGTAAAAACTGAGCGTATTTGTTCGATAATTATAACGATATTGTTATAATGTAGCATATTTAAAATGTCGCACGTGCGATTTGCTTGGCACGGAACTAGTAAAAGCATAAGAAAAAATCTAGTATCTAGAAGTATAGATACAGAGGAATGTGGACCTTCAGTAGACGGATAAAATTGATGATGAGAAGAGAATGAACTTAAAACTATCGGCTTTTCCGAATAAAGACCTGAGTTTATAAAATTAGTGTCAATTTCAAAATGTTAGAAAATCTTAAAATCTTTTTAATAATAGCTATCGAGAGCTGAATTTTTAATTTCTTACAAGCTAAGCAGCGAACTTCGGTTCTTTACATCCGTTTTAGAAAGAAATGAAAAACATTTTATAAGAACTATTAGATCCAATTGAAAATATTGACTATCATATCCAATATATATGAATATATACCGCCACTAAGAATCAGTCAGGATTGCCTCCCAAAAGAACCTGACAATGTAGAGAGCATTAGTCCGGTCTATGATCGAATTTCCACATACATTTCATCTCCTCTACGTCCCCGAAAAAGTTCCTTTTTGTACTGCTAAGAAGTTAATGAAGATGAACATAATGAATCCTTCAATTCCTCTTTCGAATTTCGTTGCCAATAAGCCACCAAGCGGAATGTCTTCCTTGTGTGAGGATTTTAGATGCAGGAAAAAATTCTTTTTTATTATAACAATCGTTATGATATATACGCTACTGATGGTTCGGTCGGTTCCATTTAAAACAGTATATAAAGTCAGTGGTGGAGGACTCGACTTTTATTGATTTCCTCATCATCTACATACTGTGAAAGTGGATATAAAGAGCGGTCATAAATAATACATTGTTTTTCTAATAGCAAGCCAGCTACTCTTTTAATAAAAACAATATGTATTTGATATATACAAGATGATGTACGAATCTCAAATTGGCAATTGTCAACTTGTTTGGATATCCGGTCACTGCTTTTTTTAAATAACAAGCTGATTTTCATATAAAATGGTCTTAATTTTATAGTGCAATTTTTCAACAGCTAAAGGTTGACTTCAAAAAAATGGCGTCTGTCGAAGGTAATCACTCATTCAAAATCTTCCCTTTAACATTCTTTTTTCAGCCAAAGTTTGCAACGTTCTTCTTACACCACTATATACAACTGAACGATTTGCAATTACATTTATAATGGGCTCTGTCTTTTGGTTTTCTTAATAATATTCTTATATTAGTTTGGGGAAAAAGAAATCCATTATTTTTATATGAACTT